TCCTTTGTACGAACAAAAGTAAGAGAAATTTAGGATAAAAATACGAACATGTTCTTGCATGAGGCCCATTGTTTGTCTTGGTTCAGTTCTGTTCTCAAGATCCATGTTTTGCCTCGTGCTTTTTGTTATTTAGTTTTTTTGTTGCTGTCTCGTCAACCTTTTTCTTTAATAAATGCTTTTATTACTATTTGAAGTCCTGCCTGCCTGCATTTTGGGTCCACCCTGCCATCAGACCTTGTCAGAATGATCGGACCACAACTGGACCCAGCAGGTGGGAAAAAGTTTTTGTTTTCCTTTGAAGAGGACTTGGAAATTTTTAAGAAGATCCAGGCTTTCCTCCACACTCAAGATCCTTCGTGGATTTATGGGTCAGGTGGGTAGCCACTAAGGATCGTATTGATCTGGTGGCCCAGTATCCCCGCCTGATCGCCTACCCAGATGTGTCGGATCTTTTTTCTGAAACTCTGAAGAAACTGTCAGAGCTGTCCTCTTCTTTCCTGGCTTCTCGTCTGCTGCAACATAGGCTGAGACCGCCACGCTGTATTTGGCTGAGACTGCCACGCTTTTTTCGGCTGAGCTGAAGGGTTCCAGCTCTGTCGAGCTGAAGGGGTGCTGTTTCACCGAGCCTTCTTTTTTTGTCACTTCAGTAGAAAATGAAACCAAATATTATTAGTTTATTTAGTTAATTTATTTCTTCATCATCAGTGACTTTTTTTAAGTGAGAAGATAAGAAAGAAAATAAGAAAAGTGAAAAGAGCTGAAACTACAAATGTATGAAATATACTCAATAGGACCACAAGACATCCCCCCAACATCCACACGTCCACTCCCACCAATAACAAATATATATGCATAATGACATACTAATATTTTCACCCACATCTACATACATGCCTGCATGTATTATACGTACAAATGCATCCCCGCTCCCCCTTATGTGTTGTGAGCATGCATACCTATCCAAGGTTTCTCCAATAGAATATTTAATAGTGACTGTGAAGAGCCCAAGACCCAGCCCCCAAGACCCGAGGCAGACAAAGAGGGGAGCCAGAGCCCAAYACCSCAAGAMCGACCCCGAGCACAGAGCCCCCAGGGCCACCCACGCAGGACGAACCACACACCCACCCCCCAGATTGGACCACAGGCGGGAACCAGAAGAGCTCCATGGGCAGCCACATTCAGAAACCCCCGGGGGCAGCAGCGACAAACCCATAGGCCCCCGCCGGAGCCCGCCGCCCCAAGGAAGATCCAGGCAAGGGCACAGAGGACTGGGCCCCAAGGAACCCCCAGGCCACGGCCCAACGGGACCAGAGGACACGATGCCCAGGCGCCCAGCCCCAGACAGAGAGGGCCCCAAGCACGCCGGCAGGGAGGGGCTCATCCCACCAGGGAGCAGTGCAGCAGGGGCGCAAAGCACAAAAACCCAGTCTGACAAGTACCCAGTCATACACAAACACATTCGTACCATCCCACCCTCATCCTCATCCTCATTCACTCAAAGATATACAATAACAACACAATCCAATCACGCTCCCGATACAAACACTATGCCCCCCAGGTTCAAGACATGTCCCCCTCCCCCCGCAGGGGGCAGACCATATCCAAACCCGGAAGGTAGATCCATTCTATCTGGGGTGGAGAGTAGCCGACAGCCAAGATCCGACCCAGGGCCTGCCCAGCCGGCAGGCCAGCCCCCACTGCCACGGGGAGTCCATACCCCGACCACCCCCACACCCCACTGACAACCAGGCACCCGCCCCCGGCCGACCGCCCACAGAACCCCGACAGCCACCCCCGGACAGCATGCCGACCGCAGCAATCAGGAGCCATGGTCAGGGGGTCCAAACGGCCCCAGGGAGCGCGGAGCGGCAGAACCTCCCCAGCAACACCCCGGCCCCCAAACCCCCCAGCAGCCCGGGGCCCCACCCGACAGCCTGCCGCCCATCTGGACCCCGCCCCCGAAACAGCAATCAGGCAACGGGGTGGGGTGGGGGATTAATTAAGGAAAAAAAGAGGAGACCCTGACACACACACACKCACCCTCAAATGTGCTGTTGATGTGTGGTGTTCTATAATGTAATTAAAAGAGGAAAGAAGAATGAGCAGAGGCCAGCATGAAGCCGGTTTTTCCCTCCACCCCGACTCTATCCCAGGAGCCCTAGATGTCTAACTGCAAAAAGAACAGAATAGACAAACCCCCCACCACCAACACAAAAAGTAGCCTAACGTTAGCACTGTGCTCACCTAATGTGTACCCACCGACCAACTGTGCTTACTTAACATTATAACTGGTGATTAATCGTAATAATAATATAATGACAATAAATCAGAGTTTCACTAACCTTGACGTTAGATCTAATACAGCCAAGGAGTGATCTSTAAARAACTGGCCATTAATATACATTTTATCTACTGCTATTGTAGCTCTGCAGCCTTCAGCTAGATGCTTTTTTCTGATGGGAAACAAAACACGATGGCGATCGAGGTATACTTTAGGGAACTGATGGTTAACACTAAAGCTAGTACCACATAGCTCCCTCCCACAGCTAATAYCCTGCTCCTTCTGTTTGAAATGTTCAAATTTTGCAACAATAGCCCGTGGTCGTTTGCTGTCGTGTCTCTTACCTACCATCCGATGTACACGGTCGAAGGTGATGTTGTTTACCGTCTCACTGGAGAGGTTCAGCTGGTTCTGAATGAAGCTCTGGACTGCAGCCTCTGGGTCCTCATTAGCTTTCTCGGGGATGCCGGAGAAAACGAGGTTGTCCCTCATGCTTCTGGCCTGGATGTCTAAGATGGTTTCCTTCATCGTCTTATTATCTCCAGACAGCTGTGACATCCCCTCAGTGAGTTGAGACAATTTTCCTTTCAACTTGGTGTTCTCGCTAACTAGCAGAGCTACTTGCTCCTGACTAAACTCCAGTGATACAGTACATTCAGAGCCTGGAATTCTTTATGCAGCACCTCACTAAAGCTAACCGGCTATCTAAACTGCTTAGCTTTTGATTGATCGACTCCAGTATGTCCTTAAAGCCTGTCGTTTCTGGAGAAATATTTGAAATATAGTCTGAGCTTGCCGAGCGATTCCTCTTTGATGTTGGCGTGCTAACTGACATGCTAGCTGCGCCGCCAGAGGTATGTTTCGGTTTGCCCATGACTATTTTTTCAAAACACTCATCAATGAGAAACTCCAGACTCTCCACTGTTTCTCCGTCCAGTTTGTTATAATGAAAAGCCAATTAATAACAGGTAGGACGTTATAAATGATAAATGCATTAAACTTGTTTAATTATTTAGTGTATTTACCTGAGAACCAAGCTTACCAGTACATTATCCCTTAGTTGATTAAGCTCGTTGAGAACTCAGCAGCTCATGCACCCCTCCTGCATTACTAAAAGTAAGTTTAGCAACTTAGCTGATGAAATTTATCCTGCAATAAAATGTTAAATAAAAATGCAACTGCAAGCACTGATATTGTAGCTAAACCTGAACTATAAAGATTTTTTAAAATATTTATGTGTAACATTTTAACTGTAAAGTTCTTCCAGTGAAAAGACATGTAAATACAGTACATGTCCCAATGCCTTTTAAATCTGATTTGAAATTGATCACTATGGTAAAGGGGAAGTGCATGGTCACGCAAACGTACGTAAAGCCAACATCAAGAGAAGAATAGACTGTCTCATTTCATGTCAATTTTAAGCAGCCTACCTGGACAGTGAAGGACGTGGCCGAGCTGAGCTACGTGCTCATGAGCACCCAGCCCATGAATTGAGACACAGCCAGAGTGTGTATGGGGAGTCTGAGTGGAGTATGGCATCCATTTTGTGTGTGTGTGTACATTGAATAACTGGGTGTGAGAATGAGGGTGGGAACGTGCAGTTTTGCCTGGTTATCTGTCAGGTTGGAACTTGGGCTGCCCCTTCTCCTGGATCATCTTACTTCTCCATCCTCTTTTGTCTTACATAACTGTGTGTCTGGAAGAATGGTTAAATTATCTTCACATCAGTGACACGTAACATGAAAAAAGCTTACTAAAAGGATTTCAAAACAGGAGAAATAAAAATCTATCTTTCATTAGATTTATTAGTTGTTTTATTCATGCATGTATTGTGTGCTGAATGCATTGTTCTTGCTAAATTTTTATACGAATACATCTTTGATCAAACACATAATGCTTATAAAAGAACCATTTTCATATTTAATTTGTGTTTAAGGTGTGAGGCTCCATTCCGTGACTCACAGTTTTTATTTTTTCAGWAAAGTATTATAAATTCATCTGCAAGTGGCAGATCCCAGAGGTCTCTGCGTGAAAACTTCATTATTCCTGTAACTTTGATTTGCCATTACTGCAGAAATTACCTACAAATCTCAAAACAGTGGAAGGCCTTCAGCTGAATCCTTTTCATTCTTTTACAAAGGTTGGAGGCAAATTGAAAAAAGTGTGACTAAGCCTCGCTGCTTCCTGTGGGATTTAACTTACAAGCTGAGTAAGGTAGAATAAAGACAATTAAATGCATTTTATTCTGTTTTAAAAAGCTCACAGTAAAGTGCAGTGTCTAGTCCTAGTCTTAATTAGTAAAACCTTAAAACCTTTCTGTGCCTAAAAATATATATTAATAAAGGACTGCAAGGACTGCCTTTCTTGCCAGAGTTTTAGARAAACATAATTATGACCCCCGCACGTGAAGCGTAAGCGGGAGTCATATTGTTTTCGTTTGGTTTATTTTTATTTTTTCCAGTGATTTTTGGTCAACCGTAGCACAAAAACGGCTGCACCAATCAACATGAAATTTGGCAGGACTGTAGATGAGTCRGACCTACACTGCACCAGCCAACGGTTTGACGATACACCCCATATTTGAGGAGGGGGCTCCATCCAAAGAGGGGGTGTCTGGACATGAAAAATGCTTATAACTCAGAAACTGTTRAARATAGAAGCTTCAGATTTATTTTGTTGTTTAGCTCTGATGAAGCTCTATCCATCAGGCCCACCAATAAGTGCAACATCCTCTGCAATGTTCTCACTTTCTTCTTCAAATGCAACAGTGGTGGGCACCAGCCCGCTAAAGTGCAAATCCGCTAATTGCGGACCTAAATATTTTGCTTGCACTTTAGCAGTCTTACTAATTTTTATAATTCATAAATGGATTTGCACTTTCTAAAATTAAAATGCAGTACTGCTAATAACTAATTAACTACCAGTCATCATTATCTTGAACAGCAGAAGGTATGGCTGTCAATGAATCACAACACATGTGATCTATCCAACAGCACCCCTCCCAGATAAACACACTTATTGTGAAGGTATACATCCTTGCTGACTGTTGCTTTCGGTCACGGTTCTCATTTTACAGACATTTCCCACAATGCTTTGTGTCTGCTTACGTAGCKGGAAGGCAATGGTTAGAACCATGTGACCGGGTGACACTATCTGTCCCAGCAAAAACAGTTGACGTTTGTAATCCATACTAAAGTTTTGTATGTATTGATTTATTTTACTTTACAATCGGAGCTCCTTTTAAAAAATATATATATATAAAGTTTAAACACTGGAGCTCAATACTTGACGTAATTGGCTGAAGCAATCGGCCAACGGGGTTAGCTAAAGGGACGCAGAAATGATTTAATGATGTTATGCTCATGAAGACAGACATCTAGTGGTCAACTGGAGCGATAAACAAAAGTGTGGAAAACTTTAAAATCCATGCTCTTATTTTGAAGTGAAGATAGTTTCCTGTACTCCATGCTTTCGTTTCCCGTCAGGCCATCACAAATCAAATCTGTCATGTACCCAGAAAGCATCGCTTCAGTTTTCCAATAAACAGTTTTAAAATTACTTTATTGATGCTTCTTTAATGGAAAATCTACACAAAAAACACAAAGAAGCAGCCGAACTAGCAATTCTCAACAACTTTTTAAAGAAGCAGCCGAACTAGCAATCCTCAACAACTTTTTAATTTTTACACCAGGAGCCAAAGGTCTGTTTCAGGAAATCACATCCCCAGCAATCGGCGGTTGTAGGATTAAGCTGTGCAAGAGTTCATACACCACTAGTTGGCAGTGTTGTGCATAAATATTGTACATGAATTGTTGCCAGCTAGTATCAAATTGAACTTGCGTTTTAAAATTAGCTTCAGCTAGTTTTTCTATGACATAAGCGTTTTTGAAGTTGCTGACCTAAATATTTTCATAAGCGCTTTAGAAATTGCGGAGCTAATTTTTGGATTAGCGCTGCCCACCACTGAAATGCAATTTATCAAAAGCCAGAAAATAAAGGACACTAAATCACTGCTACGCTACAAAAGAGGCTGACCCCTGTGCCACACTGAGATACATAAAGCCTCTGCATACTCCATCCGAAGCTGCAAAATCAGCTGTAATTGCGTGACAAAACTTGAGTCAAGGCCTGCGCTGAAATTTCTCACAGGTGACAAYTATTATGTGATTGGTCACATTTATGGGCACATTAATCATGGAAAAGTGCTCAGACAAAAATGGTGTCATTTTGATTAAACTATTTTGCTTCTAGAAACCGGCAATTGTGCATCCAAATAACACTGATAGTTTTGAAAAGGAGATGTCTGAAGTAGTCTGAGAGTATGCCCATCTACAGGATTTTATTAGACATTTTTAATTGGCCAAAAATTCCTGGATGAAGAGATCACAGTTTTTGTGAAACCCTGTGCTGTGACGTGTACTGTGGTGGGAGGGGTTTCCCAGGAGCTCTGCGCCTTGTGTCTTAAGGACTATGAAAGGTGCATGCACAAACAAACCTCCCAACACCACGTGACAAGGAATGGACTGTTGGCTTCGGATTGAGCATGTAGGGCCCTTTAGATGAGGGGTTCTTAACCTTTTTGACCTCGGGGCCCAATTTGTTGAACATAAAGTGACTCGAGGCCCAGTCAGACATTACCAATATACGGATCAAAATGATAGTTATTCTAAATCTTGGTTTAATTTGTATTGTATTTGCATTATAACTAAATTAAATACACTTACAGTTTAAAAGTAAAACATTTGTCAAATAATAAGACATGATTATGACAAACATTTTTTTATATTGTAACCCGCCCATGACAATTATTTCTTTAGAATA